TGTGTATTTATCATCCCTTCTCAAGCGAGTTGATCGGCTCTTGCAATTTGACAGGTGCATTATTTTCTGAATTATTGGATAGGGTAGACTAAGTCAACTAGCGTTTATCACCGACTAATAAAAATAGTAAACTAAATGATTTGAGAATGATGTTACAGGTTGATGCCAAGTTACAATGGTATTTTGACAATTAGCTGCATCCGGTCTTTGACCCAAATTGCACTAAAGCTGTCAGAGTTTGTTCCTCTTGTAAGTAGTTTCCCTTTCATCTGATATCCCCTCTAGAAACTGGCATATGTAGATTATCATTATTGGTGGTTACAGGATCGTGTCATTGAGCTCATTAATCCATTCCGAACTTCGAAGACACTCTGGAAAGTTCGGGTTGAAGCAAGCAGATCACTTCTTGATCTTGAATTCCAGCGCAATGGGATTGATGCTGCATTGGCATTGTTTATTAGATATTTGGATGAAGAGCCAACTTTAAGAGGTTCTGCGCAGTTAATAACTTTGTCGGCCAAATCATTTTATTTTTGTTGAGGAAATACAGCCTAGTAGTTCAGATTTACCACGTTGATTTCTGTTTATTTGTTGGATAGAGGTGCAGCAAGTAAATAATTTCTGTTCCTGATCACAGGTCAAGTGAAGTTAGGCGTGCATGCCATGCGTTTATGTCAGATTAGAAATGAATCTGATTTTGACAGTGATGTGAAGGGTGAAATTCTTGTTTCTTTATTGCGCCTGCTGGAGAGCTCAATCTCGTTTAACAATGTTATTCTTCGTCATTACTTGTTCTGCATCTTACAAGTCCTCGCTCGAAGGTGCTTATTCCTTCATTACCTGTTAATTTGATGGATTTCTGCTACTTCAATCTGTTCTGCTCTCTGCTGGAGATGGCAAGTAAACATGTTTACTTGCTCCCTTTGGTTTTATAGAATTCTAATTGAAGTGTCTTATGTTCCTTCAAATAATTGCTTAGTGTATGAAATTATTTTGCCAGTGTGATTTACCTTTTGCATGATAGGTAAGATTTGCATATAACGACACATTATCACACACATTTTGCCAGTGTGATTTACAAACACATTAGAGCATTGTTATGTTTACTTTTTCAGACCTATTGCACTTTGAAGTTTTTCCATCAGTCTGTTCTATTGTAACAGTAACTTTTCTGGTATGCAGTTAGGTAAGATTTTTATGGTTTATGGTTAAAAATTTATCTATTTATCTTCTTTCAGAGCGCCAACACTGTATGGAGTGCCAAAAGATGAAACTTTGAGGATGGGGCATGCTGCATTTTGCAGCAATCTTAAGAATATTTTCGCTGATCTTGTCAAACAATCTAAACCTCCTGAATGTCCTCTGGAGAACCTTGAAGATATACTTGATGATTCAGCCATTGCAGATGCTCTTCCGGGCAATGAAAATGCAAAAGGTGCTACTATCTCAGTACCTGATAGTTTATTTGTATCAGAGGTCCAGAAAGACACGGAGGATGCTCTATTGAGTAATGAAATTGTAAACACTGCTACTGGTGCTATACCTGATAGTTTGGTTGTTACAGAGGTCCAGAATGAGACAGATTTGCTGAATTATAGGCATGGAGTAATGCATCCGGTGGGTGACCTCCCACTGGCTAGCTCTGCGGATCCTTGTAGAGAAGAACCTGTCTTATCTGACAATGAGCAAACAAAGCCAATGGTCAGCCTGTTGCATGAGACTGGAGGTATGTCCATGGGCCCGCCAACAACCGATAACCTTGGAAGCCGTGATCAAGGGCAACCAGTAATCAATCTTGGACGAGATAATCCAGGAATTTCTGAACCTATCAGAGAACCTGATACTGTTTCTGCAAGTTTTGAAAGAAAGAAGCCTGTTTTCAAGATTAAAGTGAGAAAAACTGTCACATCTTCTCGAGCTGAGGATAATGAAAATGTAACGATGGACAAATCTCAAGATGATTTTCGTGATGTTGACCGTGGGGCAAGTAGCTCTGTTTCTGTTGATGCACCTCAAAGAAATGTTGTTGAATTATTGAGCAGTGGCGGAAACCAGTTCCCTGAGGATGTTAACTCTTGTCATGATGTTGGATCTCATGTTACTGCCAGCATTGGAAGTGCCAAAGTTGCAGTTGAAGTTGAAGAGCTAACAAAGGAGTTGCAATGCACTGCTGAGTCGAGCAAAGTTTCTTTGGTGCCACAACTTGATGATCACTTATTAGCGGGTATCACGAGAGTTGATGACCCTGAGGCTGAACCACATAAATATGCAAGTTTGCATTCGCTGACTATGCCTAACCTTCCAGTTCACGGCAAAGTGAAGGAAAAGAAGAAAGACAGAGGAAAGAAACGAAAGCAGGAGGGCCGCAAAGATGACCCAGAGTACTTGGAGCGGAAAAGGTTAAAGAAGGAGAAGAAAAGGAAGGAGAAGGAGTTAACAAAGATTTTGAAAGACGAGGCAAAGGCTTCAACGTCCTTGGAGAGTCAGAGGAAGAATGAGCAGCGAGGCACCAAAGCAGAGACAATCAGGAATGATCATAAGACAATTTTAGTAGAGCAAGGAAGTAGAAAAGATGAAGCTGAACCCAGACAAGTGGTGAATGGTGCAGAAGCAAAGGCAACCTCTTCGGGCTTGTCTGGTAGAAACGAGGATATCGGGGCTAAAGGAGCAAGCATGCAATTGAAACCTGAGGGATCTAATGGGGTGAAGTTAAACGTAGATAGAGGCGATGCGAGTGTAAATGCTGCGCCACCTACTTCTTCACATAAGTTCAAAATCAGGATTAAAAACCGAACGCTTGGTAAATCATGATTTGTGTAGTAAATAAATTTCCATTGGTAATTTGTTTTCTATATGTTCTATTCATGTGTAGCTTTTGTATCGTGCAAGAAATTTACTTGTACGGAGTCTTAATTAATTACATGTACTAATAAAAAGGTGTGCATTTTTTTTTGTCTCTAGTGTCAAGGCTGTTGGGGTTGTGTATCTTGCATTGTCATTTTTATCACATATGAAGTGATTACTGATAAAGATCAGTAGGAGGGATAAAATAATAATTAGAACCTGTGATGTACATATAGATTGTACAATTCAACTTTTTAACTATGATTAATTTTATATTTGAATAAAAAACAGTAATGTTTTGGTCAAGATCTCAGCATTTACAGTACAAATTAAAGCAGCCTACAATTTCATAAAGAGGATTGATTGCTGGGACTTGGGAGTATTAACTGAATCTACTTTTTCTCCTTTTCTTTTCTTGCTAATAACTATGGACTGTCAAACGATGAGGATTTGTTTCTCTTATTGGCACGCCATTTTAATTTTATACTCCCTCTGTCCCTAGTTACTTGTCCCTAATTACTTGTTCAGTTTGACAAATCAGGAAAAGACAAATTCTTTTTACCTATTATACCCTCAATTAACAGACTAATTATTTTGAAAAATGTAGAACTTTTCATCCACTTGATAATTAATAGGGGTAAAATGGTAAACCCACTATGTCATTAATTATTTTCTTAATAGATGTGTCAATTCAAAAGTGGACAAGTAATTAGGGACAGAGGGAGTACTTATGTGCCAACTTAGCTCATAACGAGGCTACATCAAGGTTTTCTATTTTAAGGTTAGGTTGATCGGCCGGATATGATTTGAAGTCAGATTGATTTTAAAATGAAATTTTATTCTATTATGTAATTTGACTTTTTTTAAAAATAAACATAATGACCCACAATTTGTGAACTATCAAAACTCTCAAATTTTAATACAATCTTATCAAATTATAGTTCATAAATAAGATATCGAAATATCGAAGGTATTGTATTAAATGTTAATAATCATATGTGCATAATCTTTTATATATATAAATGTTTGCGATCAAGTATCATTATAAATTCACATATACATAATTTTACAAAGATTCACTAGTTAAATTTTTTTATTAAATAATAATAATTAGTTATTCTTTAATATAGTCTTTCCATGTGTTCATTTCGAATTTTGAGCCATGATTTAGAATTTGAAAACCTGCTTTTAAAAAAAATAATAATGATATATTGGAATTTGAAAATTCCAAAAAAAAACTTGAAACTGCGTTCTTAACTTCTATAAGCCAAATTCCTATTTAAATTCAACATATCTCAGAGTGTCGTGTTGCATAATACATTATGATCTGGAACATGGTCGGCCATGCGTGAAAGACAACTCTACCGTCGTTTCAAATTATGGATCGTTTGATCGGTGGTATAAGAATAACAAATACTCAAGATAAAGATAAAAACAATATGATTTTATAGAACACGACGACTATTTTTTTTTAAATAATTAGTTCTGAGATTATTTTATTCTATTATATATTAAAAATGATGAGATTAGTTATATCATATATGTATAAAACACGACAATTAATTTCACGAAATATAATATCCTTATCTGTCCAATCCCGTGCAACAAAAACGTCCCCTTACATTTTGTTATAAAGTTGTAATAGTAATACTCCCTCTGTCCCATTTTATATGTCATCATTTTCTATAAATAGTTGGTCCATAATACTTGTCATTTCATAAAATCAATGCATAAATTATCATATTGTTCCTTTTTTACCCTTGTGAGTTATTAGCCTTGAAAATATATATTTAATCAACTTAGAAAAGCTAAGTAAATGATTAATGTTCATTGGTTAAATTAATTAATCACAATAAATTAATTCATATTCATTGATTGAAAACTTGAATTTCAGAAAAATTAAATAAGGGTAGAAGGACTGTATATCAATCTTATCCCCTAGAGGTACAACCTAAAAATTAATAGCAGTTATAGGGTGATTGATTTATGCAATCTTTCTTTTAGGGATTTGTTGGAAAAATAGACCCGTCATATTACGTGCCGTTATCGACTTTCATTAATGCTACAGTAAACACTTTTTTTTTTTTTTTTTTATAGTTCTTAGCCTTTATAAGAAGTTTCTTACTTTAACTGTATTTCATTGGTACCACCTAAATATATGAGTATTTTTTTTAATGGTCCTCTTTAAATTTTGGGACATTAGACACGTGTCGATTTCTCTACTCTTTAAAATCGGCCCTGGTTTGAAGGTGTCGTGCATCTATTTATAATAGAAGAATGAGTGATTTTGTTCGAACCCTAAGGTATTATGGCCTATCTACTCGATTCTCGATGGCTAACGGCTCAAGCAAAGCTATAAGGTAGAGGTTTTTGAATTTGAAAGAATAAGAATATGGAATCTCATTATGCTAATTAAATGTTTTCATTTTTTTTCCTCTCAAAATCATCATATATAATATGTAATAAGTGGTAAGTACTTGTTAATGACTTTTTTTTTTTTTATCAGCTAGAAATTGTACAAAATATGAAAGAAATGAAGATGGAATATTATTAGGGCATGATTTAAGGTCAGTTTCAATCACTTCTCATTCTTCTTCTAGAACTATTTATTTTCTACTTTTTTAGCTAAAACTAGCATTTTTTTTATATGAAAATAAAGTTGTGCCTTGAGTGGTGTTGTATTGTGAAGTGAAAATAACAAAAATAGTTGATATGAGATAAAATAATTCTTGTTTTTGTTTTTATGTTTTTTTTAAAATAAATTTAATAAAATGGTTAGGTTTTTATATCTTCAAATTGAGTTACAAAAAGAGTAGAAATTACAAGGATTTTAGTTTTTATTTTATTTAAAAGGAGTAGAAATAACTGGGATTTTTTAGTCTTCTACAGACAGAATATAAGATTAACTCAAAAATAAAATATATTACATACCATGATCTTGTTATCAAACTGTGTTTGCAACAGTAAGTCAAAAAAAAAAAAAAGACCCTTAATATGAGGTAAGAGATTTTTGAATTTATAAACAATGAAAGAGTTAGATAAAGAGGTGCAATTCAAAATATGTCTTTTTTCTCATTTATTTACACCTTAAGAATCCCAATATTTATAACTATCTACTACCAAAATAAATAAATTAAACTTAGTTACAAACTTTCCCTCCAAACTTAGCAAGGCTTCCTAGTGCTTCTGCCATGTTATTGTTGTTATTATTTTTATAATGTATATCAGGAGATTTAGTAAACATTTTATAAATGGTTTAATTGTAAAACTTTATTTACATATTCATGCATAGATTAAAACTCAGAGTAAATATGATTATGATCCAGAAATGCAGATATCATTTGAATCAAACACTTTGTCCTGAATGAAGCTGTAACTTTACAACTATCAGCGTGTATTTGGTACGAAACAAAAATATTTTGTATGAAAATATATTTTTTAAGCATATCATAATTACTACCTTAGACTTAGTGGCGGAGACACCTTATAGTTCGGGGGTCATTTTTGAACCTCCTTTGACCGAAGATTATATTATATATGCATGATTAAAATAATTTTTAAGTATATATAGTAGATGTCGAAGCTCTTTTAACTATTTTGTGTCTATTTTTTCAGATTCTAAACTCTTAATTAGAAATTCTGGCTCCGCCACTGTCTAGACTAGATTGGACACCCATGTGGGTAAACCGATACTCATGTTAAAGAGATATGGAGTAATTAGTTATATGTTTTTTTGAATTAGGGATTAAAAAAAAAGACGCAATGATTAGGACATTCCTTAAATTGTTTTGTCGTTTTACGATATTAAAAAGAGGAGTGTGTGGAACTCCAGGCTTCATTCTCTGCAACAAAAAGGAGACACGGAATTTTTTTTGTCTTCTTTCCTTTAGATTTAGAGCCCGTTTGAAATGACTTAAAAAAATAGCTTTTAAATCAAAAATAAAAAAGTCAAATTGAAATGATATTTAAGTCAAAAAATAAAAAAGTAAGGGGGAGACCTACTTTTGGTTTCTGAGTTATTTTAAGTCATTTTTTACTTTGCCAAATACTTCATAATTTATTTTAAGTCATTTTTGACTTATTTTAAGTTATTTTTTATATTTTCCAAACACTTTCAGAAATTAAAAACTGACTTAAAAGTAGGTTTGACAGACTTTTAGGCCAATCCAAACGGGTTCTTATACAGTGTAGTTTTTTTTGTCTTTACATGTGAATATATTATTTGACTAGTGAAACAAATTTCATAATCCTATTACAAATACTAATAGAAATAAAGGTTATTCTCATCATGAATCAATTGAAAATTTATGTTCTAAAATATAATTTTTTCACCGAACCAGCTCACCGAAAAACGTATGGTAGGAAATAGTTTCTCTAGTGAAAAAAATACTATTTTATCTTTTCTTACAAATTCAATCAAAATATCTACGATAAATTTTCTGTCCCCATTTATATGACTCACATTTCTTTTTAGTCCGTTGTAAAAAAAATGACACTTTTATATTTTGTAACAATTTAATTTTAAAACGTTTATTTTACTTTTAATGAAATGATTTATAGCCACACAAACATCTATGACATATTTTAGACCACAAAATTCAAAAGTTTTTTTTTTTTTTTAAATTCTATGTCGCAAGCAGTGGTGGAGCTAGGATTTTATTTAAGGGGATTCAAAATCTGAAGAACTAAACACACGAACTAATTGAAAGGGGTTCAACATCTACTATATATATACATAAAAAATAATTTAAACCATATATAAATAGTAATATTTTCCGCCGAATGAACCCCTAACAGAAGACTGGCTCCATCCCTGACCGCAAGTCAAACTAATTCATATAAATTGAGACATAATTTTTTAACAGTGACATTGTGTGTATTTTAAATTCTTCACTTTCTATCAAGCAAAAAAAAAGTTTGTTGTTGCTAATAGAGGGAAAAGTAGTGATGATAATGTAGATTGGGTAATCATTCTAGAAAAGTAAAGAGGGATCAGGCCCATATTTGGGCTTTTAAGAAGTTTGCTAAATGAAGTAAAAGTATGTCCTTAAGTAAGTAAACCTAATAGTCCAACTGAGAACAACAGGCCCCTGGCCCATTTATATTGTTCACTCCAGCTTTTTGGGGATTTCCCCGTACTCCTACTATTTTATCCTTACTCCTTTTATATTTTAAGCTATATAAAATATTATTTGACCTTTGAACAATATTTAGTTGAAGTTGAAACAAAAAAAGAAAGAGGATAGAAGTTGACGTTTTAAAAAAGTTAAATTATTTTGTAGTTAAAGTTGAAAAAAATGATACGTGTATCTCAGATAAATATGGATCAAATTAGGTGTAGTTTATTTCATATACACTCTCTAAGTGTGATTTGCATGTATCTGAGAATCTCATGACTCTTTCGCTCGCCTTTTTCCCGATGTATTTGTATTTCAAAATGTGTTTGGTATCAAGATACATGGATTACGTTATGCGAAATGTAGAAGAATGTTCACATGAAATGTGGAAAAATCAAATTCAACCTGCCAAATCAATCCAAACCACTTTAAGTTTGGGTAAAATCAAACTTTGATTCATTTATTATCTTAACCCATTATGACCCGTTCAAATTTGACCCAACCCACTCCAATTGCCACCTCTAGAATAGCCCAAGTGAAATGACCATAGAGGCATAGAGCAGTATCCGGCCCACAGTGACCCTTAAGGCCCATCAGTACGGCGATATCTCATGGGTAGATATGGCTTGTAAAGAATATCAATTCTCATGATTCTCACTCAATTCCTATGCTACCTACTCTATACACATTTCAATATTCTTTATTATGATTATTTTGACGTCTAGGATTTAATAATATTTTTGGTATAAGATATTTGTGCAAAATCAACATAGAAAAAAAGTATTTTCGAAACAATACAAACATGAGACATTAACATTAGTTTGTCAATTACGCATAATTAAGTCAAATATACAATGCACATGATACTTTTTTCTTTTTGGAAAAAAATATATACTTTTGGGTTGGGCCACGAAGAATAGCAAGTGCTTGAGTTTGCTCCGGGAGAGGGTTCCATTTAGATGTTTCAAATTTTTTTTATATGTTTATGAAATAATCGGAATATCTTAGTCGTTCAATTGATTTGCTATTAGGAATTTTCACTCCCGAAAGTCCTATTTTGATCCTCTTTCCCCTTTTTTCCTTACCCCTACCCCAATTTTTTACTTTTAAAAAAAAAATGGAAAATGTTGACCAAGATTTCTTAGCAATATTTTTTCTTCATGTATTGGCTTTCTTTGTTCATTCCAATTGCCAAGTATGTAGGAGATAAAATAATTCTTAAAAGCATGAAATTTGATACTCTCTATTGTATAGGAGTGCAGTTTTGATGCAGAACAATGCAAGTAATGAAAACAATTAATAAACAGGTAATTACGATATTTATTCGTATTTGATATTTACACTAATTAAATCAATAATTGCGAGACATATTTTGTATTCTCACATTTGGGGTTTTACAATGATTAAGTGATGTATATTTTCATAATAATATTGAGGAGAGGTGATTAGGCATTACATGACATACTTGTAACTTTACTAATTAAGTATGTGACCCTAGATAAGAGTATGTAGGTCAAAGATTATGATAGAAGGTTACTAGGTAGTCTAACGTTGTCTAAATTTCATTATCAGTATTCTTTTCACCATTACTTTTATCATTACTTCTTCACTATTACTATTCCCTTTTCATACATGTTTTGGAATTCTTTACTTGATTTGAGAATCCATCATAAACAACCTCTTTTATCTTCACAAGATCATAGGTGTAAGATCTGAATACAAACTATTCTCTTCAGACCGATTATATGTTGTTATATTCTCACAATAATTATCAGCTAAAATTATTGTTGTTTGACAAATAAACGAGCACATGCTAGAATCAAAAGAAAGGATTCCCCCCTTATTTCTTTATCTATATATTTTTAAATTCCACCTCTCCTTTCTATTCTTAACAAAGTAATAATAGTTTCCACTCAAATAGCTATACTATTAGAACAATATTGAGAAACAGATTATCATAAGATACCAATAATTAGTGATGGGACTTAGAACAATACTTAATTTTAGCATATTAATGTTACTAAGAATTATGTTAAAGCTGCCCATTTGACAGGCTATGTTGTAGGCTAAAAGATGCCAACCGAATATTGACATCAATGTCTGCAATAGTACTAGAGTAATAAGTAATACAAAATGACACTTGTAAACATGATAAATCATACTCAAAATTTTAAATTTATCAGTTTTGAATCAATTTATACATATTAAGTGAATCTCTTTAACACATGTAGATATTTTATCGAATTCGTAACTAGAACTCTAGTTCCGTCTCGGAAAGAAAGAGATAATGAACAAGTGATGAAGACATCATCAACGTTAGGTATCTCTAGAAGCACATAAAAAAATCTTGTATTGTTAATTTTTGCTTTTGAGAATGTTGACATCTCTCCTTATAATAAAGTCCTATATATCCTTTAGTATTCGTCTTGTAGCTAGTACTGATGCAGAAGGATAAGGGGGTCCTTTAGGATTAGACAACATTTGACACAAGCTTTTTGTTCAATTATTTTGCTTGGCGCTATATAATGTGCGTTACACTAAACCACATGAAGGGGAAGTAGGAAAAAAAAAGAATGTACTTGACATCTCTATTGAGTATAAAAGTAATGAAGTGATTGATCATTTAATTTGACCCATGCGTGACCTTTAGCCTTCTTATTATTGGTGGTGTGCACATATAATTTGACCCTTGACAAGCTTCTGCAATCGTGTCATCCTTTGATTTTATCTCAATTAGGTCAAGTGTGTATTTGGTACGATCCATATGATTATTATAAACTATACTTCAGTGGAACACCTTAATTCGTACTAAACTAGAGCACTCAAATCTCATCAACTGCATATGCTATGACAAAAGATAGTAGCAATAAATTTTTCTTTTAGCGGTAATATTTATTGTTACAAAAATATTAATGTTACTTCATTCAACTAAAGGCTTTAGATATTTTTATATAGAGAGTGACCGATGTGATGAATGAATGAATTTTTTCAATTTTAATTAAAGATTTTAAGTTGGATGATTTTTTCTAAAATTAAAGATTTTAAGTTGGAGCGAATGAATTATTTTTTTCACTTGTACTAGTCTTAGCCTCTTAGGCGGTGGCCAGTTAATTCTAGCCACGTAATGGTGTAAAAAAAGGAATGACAAGCTGTTTGGTTTTGCAGCCGAGCCGGTCATTTTTGTATGTAGCCTCTCCCCAGGCGCGGCGCTCTCTCAGGTTAGGGTTCTTCAGGCGGCTTCAAATTAGCAGAACCAAAAAATGGTACTCTAATTAATTAGATGAACTTATCTATCATCTGTAGCATAGTTTAGCATCTGATTCTTTCTTGTTTTTTTCTCATCACATCAGAAAAATAGAGTTCCAAATTAAATTCTATAGGCATATATTTTCAGGGTTCTTTTTTTCTCCAATTACAGTTTCAGATGCTCCTCCTTTACCTTTTACACCAATACTGTCCAATATCTGTATTGGAGCGAGATAGATTCAATTTTAAATTTTGGATCTCAATTATCCCATCACAACTCATGTTAGTGTCAAACGGATCTGAAATGCTTTAGGCATTTATTCCATTTTCACCCTTCCCCATGGAATCTGAGCCCTAGTTTTATCTTTCTTCTAGGGTTAGAAGAAAATATCAGAGAAGTTCATGGTACAAAGAGGGTGCAGGTAGAGCACGTGTATATACAGAAACCCTAGTGAGGAAGAAGCAATATGATAGGTCAAAAACCCTAAATTTGTGCTGTAGGTGCCTGCAGCTAAGCTAATTCCACCTTATAGGATGGGGGACCAAATATGGTATGCCCGGGCCACCATAGGTTCAAAATTTTGTCGCCGTGGGTCGGATAGTACACTGAGAAACATACACTCCTCTTCTTTCCCACAATTCATTAATTTTGACTGCAAATATGCTCTGTACTCTGTACTATGGTCATTTACCACTTGGGTGGTTTCAAAAAGGCGGATCCAAAATTTAAAGATAATTAGACATACCTAAAAGCAGATGCACGTTAGTTGAAGATGCTTGTATGAAGATTTTATTAAGGTACCCATAGAACTGATGTATACTAACATAAAAATTTAAATAGAAGGGCATAGTTGGATGAAGCTCACCTAGTGGACGCGTGGTTTGAGCATCACTTTGCATACGTTAGGTTGTCTGTTTAAAATCACAACTTGGATTGCGTGCCCTTGAGGGATGCTTTTTTGTTGAAGTCAATTGGTATATGTGCTTCTTCCATGTGGGTCTGCCTCTAAATGCGACACTATCATGCTTCTTGCTTTTAATTCAATTTTTTTCTAAATAAAAAATTCTTAGCATCATATATATGTTCACTTTATTTATTTTTTTAAATCTAAGTATTGAGAAATTGGAATCTTCACTAATGCCTCCTTTAAAGAAGGTGAATTTTATTGGGATTTAAAAAAATAAAATTAATAGTAATTTCCAACTCCAGCTAATTAAACCAAGTAATTGGATTTTAGAATCCATATCATGTCTGTAAAGTTCTTCCAAGTCAAATATTACTGCTATTACTAGGATTTACTTTACCATATTTAGGTCGGTGGAAAGTACAACGGTAGAAGTGTATTCTAAATTCAAAATTCAAAATAATATGAAACTAAAATATCATAATAAGCATACTATTTAAATTAAAGCTATTACATTCGATCTAAATTTATATTTTCCACGAGGAGAGCAAGACGAAGTGCATAAGCAGAGAGGGGCCTGCAATAGTAACATATATCATCATTTATAAAAATAAATTTTACATGTGATATTTCACATCGATAATATTAATCAATAGACGGTTGTGTTTGAGACTCTGAGTCTTTGGTCACTTGGACTCAACCTGGATTCTTTCCAAGTGTCATGTGTGGATTGTAGAACACTCATCATATGTTTTGATTGGAGAAAATTATATAATGTAATAAAAAACATGTCTCTTTCAGTTTTACTTTTTTACAGTCCATTTAAAAAAAAAACTAATTAATTTGATAACTTTTGAATTTCAATATTTAATGTGACATGTGTTTATGATAGTAAGTTTAAAATACATTTTGATATATTATGTATCTTTAGTTTAAAAATATTAAATTTGAAAAAACTTCTTTATTTCCTTAATTTTTGTATTCAGTTAAATTAAAATAAATAAACTAAAAACGAGGGTGTAATATTTGACTATTTATAGTCACTTATAAAGAAGAAAGGAAAAGTGTGTTTTTAAACAAAATTTAACTCAACAAATCTTATGTTGCAACTAAAATATATGATGATTGACATGAATTTGATAATTGTAATATAAAAACCCATGAATCAAAAAAAATCTATGTAAAATTATATGCAATAATCATTTAAAATAAATATCTACTGTCTTACATATAATAACAAGTTTTAAATAATGAAAATTTTACTTTTATCTTGTCTCCACATCCGCAAATCAAAACTTAACTATAAAGGGAATAAAGGTGGATGGGAAATATATACAACTCTCTCAATGACTTAAATTAAATCACTTGGTTTATATATATACGATCATTTAAGTAAATTGATACTCTTGCTGTCTTAAAATAAGTGTCTCGTTAATAAAATAATGTTGTCCCGAAATAAGTTTTATCTTAAAAATTTAAGATAAAAAATAGTATTTTTTTTCAACTATATTTTTAAATTTCATATCCTTAAAAATGTTCAACTTTCAAAAAAAAACATTTATTAAATCCGAATAGTTTTATAAACTACACATTATAGTTATTAAGTTCTTAATAAACATGATTTTTGCTAAGATAACACTTATTTTGGTAGAGAGAAGCACTCCTCAAGATCCAAATGCTAATGCTTTGTATATTTGTTGTAACATGCTTTATATAGATTATATATAGAGATATATAGTATAATTACAATTAGGTTAGATTAATTATTTGTTTATATATAATTAAAATCAATCCTGATTTTTAGTTTATGTAAGTACTTCTTTTTTTTTTGCTTTTTCATTCCGTGTTCGATACTCATAATGAAACTCGAATCTGGGTAAGGTCGATTCAGGGGTAGCACTCTCTACCTGGAATTCTTTCATATCTTGGGCTTGAAACTGAAACATTTATTTGATGGAGGAGTAACCTTATCCACCGCATCACATCCTCTTTTGGGGATATATCTAGTGTACTTAATTACATTAGTAAACTAAAGAAACCTTGCAATTTTAACAAAGCTACAAGAAGATGTGACAAATTAATTAGATCCTAATTAATTCTCTTCAGGTCTAATTATATGCATATTTTCTACATATTTGAGGAGAAACTTAGGAATAAAAAAATGTTGGTCACAAAAAAAATAAAAGATAAATCATTTGGGAATGTCACCTATGAGGATATGTTTTATTTAATTTCTTGTTCCCCACTTTTGTGCTTCTCCTTTTTTGGTTCATTTAACCTATCCATTACCTTTCTCCTTTTATTTCTTAGTAACTTTCTTCTTTTAACCTTTTATGCTCATTAAGGAATCATTTTCAGGTACTATATATAAGTCACTACCTTTATTTCTTGGTTCTCAAAGCCACCCATATGTTTATCCTCATCTATTAATAACCTTTTATGAGTGCTATATTAACCGGAGGTGGTGTGGGGGTTTGACATGACCCCTATCCATCCCAAAGTCCATGTACGGAGGAGGACATAAACCTTTCATGTTAATCAATTTAAACTATGATATTAAGAAAATTGAAGAAATTATTCCAATTTGATGCCTTTAATTTCTCTAACATCTTTTTTTTTTTATACCAAAAAACCATTCGCACAGAAGTGTTCACCTCCTGTGTGATGGGGGGGCTTTGGCAAGACCCCTACCATATCCATATTTCTCTAACATCTTGTTTTGCCTAGATTAGTCAATGACATAATTGATTCAATAGTATACAACTATACATCCTATATCAATGAACACTACAATAAAAAGTAAAAACAGCTTTTAACGAAAATAAATATGCACATTAACAAAGAGTATTAAAACTCTTACCTGCATTAGTTAATTGTCATTGGATTCAATGTCCCTATAGGCTTTAGGGACAATACATATTTAGCGGCAATTAAGCTATTATCGTTAATTAATTATCTCTAAAGGTCATTTTTTATGTAATGAAACACCCCTTATTTATCATACTCTTTATATTGCGCGCATTTATGGGAGATCAGTAGCCTTTATGCATCTAATGAATCAAAAACTAGTGTTGGGAAATTCTTTCTTGAAAGTAAATCATTTGGTACTAGTAAATCATAATTATTGAAGTAGTCGGCATTATCTTAATTATTTGTCTTGTACCTGAAATTTAAATTACGTCTTGAAATAGTGGAAAAGTTACTATTAGGACATTAATTGGTGTGTCACTGATCAGATCAGATGTGACTTATTATTAGTAAAGATCAAATACTGTGAATGTAACCTAGTAAATCATCCCTCAATATTACAACATTATCCTCTTCTCTGACTTTTTTGACTAAACCTTAATTTTGTAGAATTGAAAAGTTTTGTCAATCAAGGGTTACGTTGTTTGGCGTGAATGATAAAAATAAACAGTCCAGGGATAAAATTTTGATGTCATGTTTGAGATAACTTATCCCATCATTTATATCATAGTGTAACGGTATAAGTTATCACATATACATGGTGGGATAAGTTATCCAAGATAGTTAACCCCAGAATAATTAATCCTAGGATAACTTGTTCCCAAACAAATGACCCTGAAAGTATTGAAGACCGTTTCACATCGGATGAAAAAGGGATCCCTTATATGGTCTAGGGCAACCTAGGTTGAGTTAGACTTAAGATCCATTTCTTTTTCATAGTATTAAAGCAGGACCCATCTCCCTTCTTATTTACCGATGTTGGGAAGTGGGGTGTTGAAGATTCACATGCATGTCGGATGAAAATGGGATTGACGTGCGGTCTCTTTATACAGTCTTGGACAATCTCCCCCTAATCACGAGCTAACTTTTAGGGTTGAAATAGGTCCAAGATTGATTTCTTTTATCAGAAAACTCAGAATTAATGCACAATTACTAAAACAAGAGAATCTCTTGGCACTCAAATCAGTGTAGAGGGATATGCTATGCTAGGATCATAGTAATGATTCTGGAAACGATGCCATATTTATGACCATTCATCTCAAACTACTTTGATACACCTAATAAATTTGTCTTTTCATCCACTTAGTTAATGGAATGATATAACTAATTAACAAGTGCTATAATAGTTACCAGTATCATTTTATTCCTTTTGATTTGCCATACAAAGGCAAGAAACAAGGAATAACTAATGAAGGATTAATATGACTGATGATTTAAAATTCCTGCACTAGCATACATCAGATGTTGATATGGAGAATTATTTGATTGATTTCATGAAAACAAGATCTTTTAAGGCCTCTATTTTCTACGCCAACTCTCAATGAATTACGTTAATATTAAACTATAGACTTTGTTAAATCTGTATGGTGTTATGCCTCAGTTTCAAATAAGTTGAGATATACCATATGAACCCTTACTATATATGTATGTCGCTTCATTTAAGCTCATCTGATCAATTCAATGTTATAAAACCTAGTTTACTAGCTGTAGAAGTTCTCTTCACTATTACTAACATATACATAACTAACAAGTCTAGTAGACTCATATTTATAGAGCAAATATTGGACTTAGTATACTAACATGACTAGAACTAATTAATTCCAACTACTTGGTATCGCCTATATATAGAGATCTTTCTTTCACTATTATGGATTCAAAGAGATTGTAGGTCTTTCAAGACTAATACCTTCAATGTGATTTTAGTTCTACCTCGTCCTCTTTAACACTCTCACACTTTCAGGCTCATCTCAAGCGATCTTCTCATTTTATCTTATGTGTACTAGCTAGCTACTTGCACCTTCTATCTAATGTGGTTTGATCACCTTTTATTTTGTCCAATCTTCTATGACAATACATCCATCACAGAATTCATATTGATCTATGATGCTAATTTTATGGATATGTTTGACTTTAGAGGCCAAGCATTAACTCCTATATATACAATTTTGTTGATTTTAATGCTATTGTATGTAGAGCTTGACTTTCATCACTTTGGTAAGATACCACTTCTATCACATAACACACCAGTAGCACTTCTCTTGTTTTGTTTCAATCATCCTTACTATTTTGATTTTATGTGTCATATTTTTTATCTATTATATCATTCTCCTTGAACATTAAGCCTAGTTATCTGAATCATTCGTAGTTCAATATTATCATTGTCACTATTACAGATGTACTAGGTCGAGTAGTTTCTTGGTTACTTCTGGCAACTAAATTCCATCTAATCTCACCTCAAGCTCATTTTCCCTATGTTTCCGCTAATTAATACATGCTGTTTCTCATTAATATTAAGATTTAATAAAGAAGTTACAATTTTGGATTGTATAATATTTTCGAATCTTAATTTTTACTACTGCAATTGCAACAAGCTAAATATATTAATTTGTTCTATATGTGTGGCATCTTATCATGCAAATAATAGTTTTGGAATCCTTTTGAAACTTCATGATCAGAATATATATATATATATTATTATTATTATTATATATATGAGTGGACAGTTATCCAAACATTATCTATAGAAGAATTTTGACTTTATGAAATTAAGTTAATTATATGTTGAATATATATGAGATGTTTAGAATCAATAAGATATAAGAGAAACCTTAGTTAACAATATCTTTGTTCTTTTTTCTTAGTTAGGCATATATGTCTTGGTGTTGTATTTCATCAAAAGTATAGGTTATACGAGGGGATCGAACCTTACCTCCAAAAAATACTACAAAGATATTGTGTGATCTAGGACTTTTATAAGAAGTCTTCACTTTTTTATGATAATATTTGGATTTTGACATAAAGTCAATTTGATGATTAAATGGTAAACTGTCAAAGAATGGAACTACTTATCAATTAGTGGATTAATGTTCCCATCTTTAATGATTAATTATTAATGGACATAAGTCTAGTTTCCTTTTGTTATTGAAAATGACTTGAAAGAAAAAGATGAGCTTATTTATAAGAAAAATACAAGTTGTTTTTCATGGAATACACTCAATAATAAAATAGACAAATTCATTTTACATTACCAACATGACCAAATAGCCTTCTTCTGAAGTTGCACTAAATCAACAAGCTTAAGTAGAACTTCCTTGCCCTAATTAAGCTTCCCATAACTTGCCAGGATACTGGAAGTTTGTCAATTGATGCTGCAACAGAAGAATAAAAATAAAAATAAATATTTGGCGATCGGATTAATAATAATAATAATAATAATCTAATTAAGTTAATACATACCTCCTGAGAAATTTCAGTATTGATTTGGTGATAGTTGAACATAAATGGGCTCCAATTGCTAGTATCCACCAAATTAAAGTTATCAACAGCATTCATAATATTGTTAGTATTATTATAGGCTTGAATACCTGATTGATGATCTTCAAATGTAGTACTCCAAGATCCTAATGATCTTGTTAAATCCTCATCAGGCGCCATGGATTGATCACCATTATTATTATTTAGGCTTTTCTTTATTTTTGTTCTTTCCCTTGCCCTTGCCCTTGCTTCTGTCCTTGATTCCTTTGCAACAACTGGATGAAATATTGCCCTACGAATCGACTTTTTTTTCTTCTGTTGCTTGTGAGTATTATTAGTTGCTGCTGATTCGTCGATTACTCCAGATATGACTTCACATGACTCGGAGGGAGATGATACAACACCAATATTAGGATTTGTACTAGCGCTGCATTTTCCTTTGCTAATTTTCTGAACGAGATCGTTTACAGCTGATTTTGACTTTGTGAGTAGCCATTCTACAGTTTTGCTAGCCTTATCGAACCCAAGCAAGTCTTGCAAATTGAAGAATTTTCTAGCAATTTCAAGTGAAAGTCTCATTCTTCGGTCTCTTGGGCCATGTGCCGTGTTTATTTTGCTGTGTCTATCTTTCTTCGAAGGTCCTACACCAGTACCACTCGTAGTTCTCTTGTTGTTTTTCCTACGAATAGTAGTAGTGGTACTAGTACTCTCATCCTTCTTGTTCTTGCAGCTTTTCATGATCAATTCATCTTCTTCCATCTTATGATCACCTTCTTCTGCCGTAATATTGGTATCCAAATTATTCTGATCGTAAGCTGCAGGTTGGATGAATTGAAAGTCATGGAAATATTGGATGAATTCCGGTTCATATTGCATAGAAGGAGATGGAATATTAATGTGAAAGAAAGATGAAGAGCTGGAAATATTGGGGCTCGAAGGGTACATCTTTAAAAAACTGCTTGATAAGGACAACCTACTACACTTCTATTCAACTTGAAAGAACCACAAACATCACCTTCTTGAGTTTTGTCACTTTTAATAAGCTAGCTAGCTAGCTTCATCAACAACAAAAAAAACGTTATAAATTAATTTAAAAACTTTTTTTGAGAGAGACTCTTCATAATTCTCTTGAATATATAAATTTTGAATACAAAGATAGCACATAGAGAAAGTGGGGAAGGATATGTGATTTTTTTATTTTTTTTTAATATAATGATGATAACATAGCTTTTTGGTTGAGAAGGACAGGTGAAATGTGTGGTTTTACATGTATGTTGCTTGGTGTGTGCTTAATTATGATAATAATAATAATAATAGCTAGGTATAGGTATATTAGTGGCTATTTTTGTGTTCGTGCGAGTTTGAGCACCATGTATTTAAGCTAGCTAGCTGGAATATATTAGCTAGTGAGAAAGACAGCCATGGTGGTGTATGTTCTTGTTGACAAAGAAAGAAAGATGAAGATAAAGAGCAGTCATGTTATGTTATTAGCTGCAAAGAGACAAAGAGAGGTGTAACCGTACTTCCATTTTACAAAGGTCCCCTATCTGATATAAAGATAAAGAAGGCTTCGCTTGCACCAAGGGTTGGTGTGACTTGGTGGTTACTGAAGTGGATAATTAGGAATCATGAGGTTTCACGTTTAAATTTTAATAGAAACAAAAAAAATAATAAGTAATTCCATTTATGTTGCTAGTAAGTGATGACAAGTATTCTATAAAATTAATCAAAATATGTGTAAATTGGTGCAAATACCACAAAAATAAAAATTTTAAAAAAACATTCTCTAGCTTTCTCATGTGGGAGTTTTAAAGTATGAAAGGGAATTTGGGGGAAAAAAGAGTGGAGGGGACACTCTACTACTTGTATAGTTACAACTGATTTTTTATTGAAATAATATATAGATGTGTCATTTAAGTTTGTTTTAGCTTGGCATTTATACCTTTTAATTTTGAGTGTATATAAATAAATATTTAAATTTGTATAAAATTAAATAAGTAAACATATGTATTATATATGACATAATACATGTAAGACACACCATTGTTAGATAGAACAAATGTGTCTATTTGTTTAAATTTTATATTAATTTAAGTGTATATTCGTGCACAATCAAAGTTAAAAGATATAACTGTCAGTTAAAGCTTAAGTTAAATAGCATGTTCATGTATTATGATTTTTTATACGAGTGAAGTGAATGGTAATCATAGCTAAAAACTTCTCTAAGAATCCGTTTGGATTGACTTAAAAAAAAGTAGTTTTTATGTCAAAAATAAAAAATTAAACTGAAATGACTTTTAATTCAAAAAAAAAGTAAGGGAAGACCTACTTTTGGCTTTTGACTTATTTTAAGTCATTTTAAACTTATTTTAAGTTATTTTTTACCTTATCAAACACTTTTCAACTTATTTTAAGTTATTTTTTACTTATTTTAAATTATTTTTTATATTTGTCAAACACTTTCAAAAGTAAAAATTGACTTAAAAATAGATTTGACCAATTTTGAAGTCAATCCAAACACTCTCTAAATGTTCCCCTTAGCTTCAAGTTCACGTGACAGCACTGACACATACTTTGACAAAAAAAAAAATACCCTTCAATCCCCTCTTTCCTAGCTCCATCATCCACCATCTCTTTAACCTTCATCTTCCCCGTAAAATAAGAACAAAAAGGAGAAAAGGAAAAAGCCCTTAAGTGATCCCTAACAACTTGAAATAAATATTGGGGTTGAGGGTTAGTTGACTTGTAATTTATCTGTTAATATGTAGTACTTAGGTCGAGGTTTTTCAAATACAACCTCTTTATTTTTATGTGGCAAGGTAGGTTCTATACTTTTCTTAAACGCTTCATAATTTTTTTTTACTGAGTATGTTGTTGTTGAGGACTAACCGACTTTAGTGAATTATCTGCTTCCCACAGTTGAGATGAAGGGGTTCAGACTCTATCAGTAGAGTAACATCCCTTTCTCCTTTCCTTTTTCTCCCTTCTCCCCTCTAATGTGAAAAAAAATAAAAATAAAATAAACAAGAGAGTAATTATTTGCTTCTTAGCTTTTGCCTTTAGTCTCAACTCAAAAGATGAAAAATTATTGTCCTTTTAGTTTCCCTCTTTTTTGTTCCACAAGAGTTTAATTTCCCTCTTTTAACTTGGAGTCTATAGAGTGTGTTTGCCTGTTTAGTACGAAAGAAAAACATTTTATTTTCTAAAACATATTTTCCAATTATTTCATTTTTGGTTGATTCCATGTTTTAGAATTTTTTTCATTTTTTAAATTAAAAAAATGACTTCTTTAATCAAAGTAGAAAAAAAAGCTCGAAAAGTAATATTGTAAGGGGTCGTCTGGTGTGAAAAATAACTTAAAATAGTCCTGAGATTAAATTATAGTGTCACTTAATTTTTTATTTGGTTGGCAACTCCGGGATAACTTATCCCGGAATTAATAATTACTATCGGGATAAGTTATCCCTTCCCATGGGTGGTATAGTAATCCTGGGATAAAATGACTAAATGACAAAAATGTCCCTTTAAACACTTTTTATACATTACTTTTCATATCCATAAAAGGTATTTTTGTAAACTTATATGTTCTTAAGATTTATTATTTTAAATACAACAAACCAAACACTCAATAAAAAATAATTTTAGCATAACTTATCCCATCATAATTAATTTCATCATAACTTGAATTCAAATCAAACAACTCCTAAGTTCATTATTTCTTTCCAACACTACCACCCCCTCCTTAATTTGACCATCCCAACAGTACCCCGAACCATCACTCCTCTCCCATTCCGTTCACATAGTAAACACTAAAAAAATAAGTAAGAAATTCACTTATTATTCAATAAAACTCACCTTATATCTCACACAAAAGACCTTTTCTATATCTATTTTCTTGTATTTAGTTGTTTGCTCGATTCACAAAGCATCCTTCTAAATCCTTTCGAATTCAACACTCTAGTAAAGGTATTAATGAAGTTAATTATACTATACATGGCCAATTTCAAAGTCGACAAGTAAAAGTATTTCAAAGTAACAAAACATATTACTACCTCAGATTTTTGAGGTAATATATTACAACAGTAAGGGTTGCGTTGCGTGAGCAGAAGCTACGATGGCCTCTTCCTCACGAGTAGTCAGTCAGTCTATAGAAAATGTTTGTGAAGGCAAAAGCAACTTTTGACCAGGATGCTCAGAACTAAATGTCACTTTCAATCAAAAGAGTAGATACCTATCTCTTCCATAATTAAAAAAAAAACACCACCATCACCCCCTCTTTCTAATTACCCCACTATTTTTTTCTTCATCAGCATGACTTTCTACCAAGTTTAGATAGTGATAAGGATATGAATAATTCGAGCCAAATATCATATTAGTATTAGTGTAGCACACACTCATTAGAAAAAAGAAAAATTCTACTTGTACTTTCTACTCATGATGTTTATAAGACTTCCCTTATAAACCCTACCCATTGAGCCATTATTGTCCATCTACTTTTAGTTGGGTTTTTTTTCTTTTTTCTACCAGCATTTAGAATGCAAAATTTACTGATTTGGATATATAGGATGTCTTATTAACTAAAGAGTAAGTAAAGCATTTCTTATTAAGTACTACTAATTTTTTTTCATTCGCATAACTAGGTGTACTCTAGTAATTCCCAATCATCACACAGTGTGTACCTTGGTTGGTTATTATGCTTTGTACTACTTGTTATCGATGTTCGCAAGACCTCTTCTAAATGTTAAAGAAGGACCGAAGTCGCACATTGTTGGTTAATAAAATGGGTGGATTTCTTATATCCGTTGAGCTGATTTTTGTGGTTTGAGTTAGGCTCGAGACTTAATTTTACATGATACAAGAGCAAGACTCATTTCACTTTTTTAATTAAAAAATGACAAATTAAAAGTCCCGCACTGATCTTGTCCTATCACTTTTAACAATTTTATGGAGTAATTTCACAATAGAATAAAACATTTTTCATTCACAAAATTCAAACTCAATCAGGAATATTTAATCACGTCATCACATTTTTTTAAATAGTACTCTATTTCTCTTTGTGTTTTGCTTATGATGTTCACAAGACCTCCTTTAAAACCCTAGCCATTAATTGAGTCCACTAGTCCATCTTCTTTCCACTTTTACTTCATTTTTAGCCATCTAACTACTTCATTGCTAAGCAATTTTCCACAATTGATAGGATATTCATCTTTGCAAGCCACTAATAACTTAATTCTTCCTTAATTTCCATATATACATGCCGCCGCCTTTGCAAATACCTACACATTATATTGCATATATATATATCCTTCAACTTCAAGTCCTAAAAAGTATAGTGGGGGTGGGGAATATTAATATATATGTGGATTGTCCTGTTTAAGAATTTTAGACTGTCTGGCATTATTATTATTAGGAGAACCACAATAAATGGTCTACCTGAAGGGGTTGTCCTGGAAGTTGCTTTCACAAGTCTAGATAACTATGAACAAAAAAGGGATGATGTATAATGTACCATTTATGGTTGGGTGACAATGAGAGCTTATATTTCCCTATACTTCTAGTGCTTTCATTATTTCCTTTGATAAAGAAGGAAAAGGGATGGGGAGAAGGTCTTGTTCTTTCATCTACTAAGGGGCGGACCCACGTAGAGTCCGTCGGGTGCTCGAGCACCCATTATCCTCGTCTCGGAATATATATATATATATCTATGTAGAAATTAAGAGGTATTTGTATAAAATTAACATAGATCCAGCACCTAATAAACAAATGATCCGATTGATCCATTAGCTCTTGGGTGGGTGTTTAAGGCTCTTTTAATGTTGTTGAGTCCGGGTTTGAATCTCACTGTTAACATGTTTTTTTATATTTTTGACTCGGCCACTTTCAGAGCACCCATAACCTTAAAATTCTAGATCCGCCAATGACTACTACCACTCCTTTTTATACCATATGATACCTAGATTAATTCAAATTTGCATTATATAAGGTCTATTCAAGCTAAGGGAGAAACGCTTGTAAACATATTCATGTGAAACATTAGCTTTTACACATGCTTTGTATAAATATTAAAAAAAAAAACATTAAGTACTTGTAGATATTTGATCGTAAGTTCAATTATTATTATATATAAACTAATTGAGGTCACCATAAGAAGTTATAAACTTCAAATCTGGGTCCCCCTCCAACTCCTACCAAAGGTTCTGCATTCTCATGAGCTTAACCTCGAGATCTTTTAGAGTGAATGAATTTTATCCATCCCCAATTCAAGGGCGGAGCTAGAAAATCTCTATTAGAAATAAAGATTTTTCGCTATGCGAATCAATGAAAAATTGTATGATAAAATATGATTTTTTTCTCATTCATTTCTCACTGATAATATATTCTCATTGAAATACTGGATAACTTTCTATTTTTTCCTCTAAAAATACTAATTATTTTTTTTCTCACCAATTCAATCAAAATATTTATAAAAATAGACATACATTTTTCAATAAGAAATTTGAATGGTAAAATAATGACTTTTTTGTAGTGGGTCATCTACGAGTTTGACCTAAGAGTCCAAACTCTGTATTTGTATTACTAAAATAACAATAATATCACCAAACATGCACAAAACCTAAATCAATATCTTATTACTAACACTTGATATTACTATAGTAAAATTTAAAATCTATAAAAATTCAAATTCTGACTGCGCAACATACATTTTCTTGTGTAGCTTTTTTATTTTCTTTTGGAATTTCAGGATAACTCGCAGTCGCTACAACTTCTGTCCTTTGGGCGAGCACTTTGTGCGCGTTGGGTAAACCCCATTGTATAATAGCCTGCAAACCACACAGAAAATGTAAACCGCACTAGGCAAGCCCTATGCGATGGATTCGACTCAAAAGACATTGAGGGGGATCGATCACAGTCCACCCTCCAAACTAAGTGAACCATCCCGAAGGACAACTCTTTGATTTATTTGTACATAATTCAGAATTCTTAAAAAAAATAAAAAAATAGTTATGGTGTACTGTTCCTTAATTTGTCTTACCTCTTACAGGCTGGATACAGTGCACCTTTGCACTGTGAAACTATAGCAGATGAACCAATTTCTATTCCTAGTAAAAATCTGTAACGGGATTGGTTTTCAGGACAATGATTTCTTACTTTGTCTCCTCATATAAATTTGTTTTCAAAAATTCTTTTTTTCTTCGAAGTTATATATTATTGATCCCTCATTTTCACAAAAATTAAGTTTCTTTATTTTTATACTCCCTCCGTCCCTATTTAGTTGTCCACTTTAGAAATGACACACAGATTAAGGCAACAATGATTAGCATAGTGAAGTTACAATTTTACCATTATAGTACAATTTACAATTTCAAAATAAATTCACTCAAGATAACTAATCAATGATGGGAAGTTCATAAGTTTATTTACTTTATTTATGACAATTTTTCACTTTAAATAAGGGTATAATAGGAAAAAAATTGTTGTCCTTTCTTGATTTGTCAAAATGGACAACTAAAAGAGGAAATATGGACAACTAAATAGGGACGGAGGGAGTATAAAAATAAAGAAACTTAATTTTTGTGAAAATGAGGGATCAATAATATATAACTTCGAAGAAAAAAAGAATTTTTGAAAACAAATTTATATGAGGAGACAAAGTAAGAAATCATTGTCCTGAAAACCAATCCCGTTACAGATTTTTACTAGGAATAGAAATTGGTTCATCTGCTATAGTTTCACAGTGCAAAGGTGCACTGTATCCAGCCTGTAAGAGGTAAGACAAATTAAGGAACAGTACACCATAACTATTTTTTTATTTTTTTTAAGAATTCTGAATTATGTACAAATAAATCAAAGAGTTGTCCAGAATATATATGTAGACGTATGTACTTGTTTTTACAGTACAACTAGCCAATGTCCATGTTACTTTCCACGCGCATGCTAATGCTATCTTGTCGTCTTGACTCTTTAATTTCAATCTCAAATCCAAAAAAATTAACGACCAAAAAGTTGTCGACTCTAAAAAGATGAGTAAAATTTGAGTATATTTTATTTTTCTAAATTTTACTTATAAAATCATATTGAATATGTTATTGCGTTAAGAATGAACAATGACATTTAATTTGGATCTGATTTATTTTAGGTTTGTTTTCTGGAAAACAATTTCGTATATTTCCTTGGAAGAGTAGTTTTACAAAACAGTTGTGCTTGGATTTAGTTTTCTTTTCAAAATCAATCGTGTTATAAATTTAATTCAATCTTATGGTGGTTTATTAATAAAAAATACTTGAATTTTCGTTAGAAATGAAAATTCTTGACTTTTTAAAAAAGAATAAAAAAAAATATGTGATATTTTCTAGTAATAAATTTTACTCCTGCTATAATATTTCAACTTATAGATTACAAAATTATTATGAAATTTTTATAGTTAAAATTTTAAAAACTAGATTTTTTTTTAACAAAGAGAAAAATGAATAGTCGACTAGTACTATAGACAATTAGACAAGTTTTAAGCTTTGAGGGGTGGTTTGGGGTGAAGTATAATGTATAATAGTTCCAAAGTAGAATTATTTTATCATGCGTTTGGTTGGAGGTATATGTTAGGCAGTCCTTTACATGGTGGAATAACTTATCCCAGAATAATTTATGCCAAAATAGTAAATTCTAAAATAACTTTTTCCTAACCAAACGACCCCGAAAGGAGCAATTTCTCTTGTCGCTGCTTTTAATTAAGGTTTGAGTTTTTCACTAGTAGTATCTATCCTAGCCCTTCGTTCTGCCAACAAAGAAGTCATTTCCTCCCTACCCAGCCGAGCCGCCTCTCTTCACTATTTAATGTTCCACCTCGGAAATCAATTACGACGTTAATTTTGGTGAAGGTTTCGTCAGTTGAGCTAGTTTTCTCAAGCAATTTGATTTAATCTAAGTCAATTGGCTCACATGAATTTTAATATTTATCAAGATGATTGGTTGATAAAAAATATTTTTCTTTGAAAGTAACATTTCTCTTTTGTTTTCTTGTGCTATGGTACGATTGAACTGAAGAAGAAGGACCACTTTGCACAAAAATATTACAAATACAGCTATGGTTGTGATAATTTTGCAGCATAATGGACAAACTGAAGTTTAATCATTGTTACCTTAGCTTTTCCCTTTATACAGTAATTTTTTGTTTCTTCTTTTGCTTTTGTTTGGACGTCTAAATAGCAACGATATGCTTTGACCAAAAAAAATAATGTTCTGATGACTTGAGAGCTTTTAAAACGACATTACTTATTGGGGGATAACTTTTACTTTCAAAAACGTTTTTATTTTTGGTTTCTCATTCGGTGTCCGGAGCCCACATTGGAGCTCCGACTAAATCCGAATCGCGCACTGCAGGGTCCATTCGGGGGTGGCGCTCCCAACAGGATTTTCTCCATACCCAAGGCACGAACTCGAGACCTCTGGTTAAGGTAAAACACTCCCACCAGTGCACCACAACCCATGTTGGTCTTTCAAAAACGGTTAATATCTATATATATATATATATATATACAAATATACAATATAATTTGATTTGTCCATCGTTTGATTATTTAATAAAAATTTGTGGGCTAAAGTGTTTTTTTTATTCTAATTTTGTAAGATATAAGTTTAGAGAACTCTTTCCTTGTCCAACATAAATCCGGTAAGAATTACATCATCTAACGTAAATTGTGTTAGATTAGGTATATATGGCATAACTTGTGATTTCTGAACTTAATTTATGTCTTTGTTTGTATAAGAGTCCATTTGATTTGGCTTAAAAAAAAGTAGAAAGTCAAACTTAAATGACTTTTAAGTCAAAAAAAAAAAGGGGGAGATCTATTTTTGGTTTTTAACTTTTTTAAAGTCATTTTAAACTTATTTTAAGTTATTTCTAACATTGTCAAACATTTTCAAAAATTAAAAATGACTCAAAAATAGATTTGATCAACTTTTAAATCAATTTAAACAGACTCTGAGCTATGTTGGAATTAAGTGGCCCAACTTATTATGCCTCGTAAGTCGTAAGATATAAACTTGTGTCATATTATGATACATAAATATAAGTTTATGTCAACTGATTTTTATTTTTTTGCTATAAGAATATTTTCGACCACTTTTTTGTTACTTAAACTACTTTGAGGAAAAAAATAATTAAAAACCGCAAATTTAATAACAAAAATTAAATATTGCCCCAAAATATAAGCATTCATGCTCATCCATTTCCTCCATGTCTAACAATAGCAATCAGTGCCAGGTCTGCAATGCTAGTCCAGTCTATTAATTCGGCCCATGTTGAATGTAATGGGCCAATAGATAGGTAATAGGCCCAAAAGAGAAGCGATGGAAATATGTGAAACAATTTCATTTTCCTTGTGAGAACAGGGAGCTCACATAAGGAGGTAAATTTTCGTGAATTGTTCGTAAATATTAAGGAAAAATTATCTAAATGCATATCTTATTTTACCATAATCTCTAAAATTCCCTATCATTTAAAAAAAATATACAAAATCTTCTCTCGGATACATTACTCTCCTCTCACTGATACATTCATATCCCCCTCTCAAATACACTCCTCCCCTCTCTGATACATCCCTCTCCTCTCGTATACATTTCTCACCTATGCATCTGGATGTCTGTTGATGTATTCGAAAGTCCAGTGATGTATTTGGATGTCTTCTCCCATCTTTGATACTCCCTCCCCTCTCGGATACATCTCTCACCTATGTATCTGGGATATCTGCTGATGTATTCGAAAGTTCAGTGATGTATCTAGATGTCATAAAACCTCTCTAATACGTTCCTCCCCTCTCAAATACATCCCTACCTATATATTCGGATGTCTACTAATGTATATGGAAGTCCAGCGATGTATCCGAAAGTTTAATAATGTATCCGTAAGTCCAATGATGTATCCAAAATCCATAAATTTTAAGGGATTATTTAATAAAAAAATAATGTAATTAATTTTTAAAGCTATGCGATTTATGTAAATTATACAAATATTAATTAAGTTGAAATTAGAAAGTAGTAATAAATTGTGCAGAAACCATACTTACAGGTCAAAAGTAATAATGTTGTATCATAATATTATTATAACTAATTTGTTTCATCCATCTATGCTTATGTTATAAATTTAGTATTCGGCTTGATAAATATTACTGGTCAAACATCTATTTTTTTAAATCTACATGAAAATGTGTACCAAATAAGGTATTAGTAATGCACTCTATCAAATGACCTCTTAAAGTAAGTAAAAAGACAACAATTTTTTCAATATCTTTTAAAAAAATATTCGTCCGAAAACATTTCTGTTACACCAAACATATCCACCTCAATCACTTTTCTGATAACCATATCCAATTAGCATATCTGCAATATAATAATCTTCTTTTTACTATTTCTCATAATGATTTTTTGTGAGTTTTTTTTTTTTTTAGGATAAACGTGTCACCCTAGTATTTAATATTTTTCAAAGGATTGAGATATTTAGGCTCAAATCAAGTTGAACATCTTCTCCAGATTCCTCCCACAAAAAAATCTAGATTTTAAATTCTTGGTGGAGACAGAAAAATGTCTTTTCTTGGAAAGTAGTAAGAATTATTTTTGAGGTGGATATGTTTTTGTTTACACACTTGGAAATAGGATGTAGACATCCTACTACATGCACACTAATATATTACTTGGGATCCCCACCCCCACTTCTCAGCCACTAGGAATTTCAAAAATACTTTTTTTTTGCATTTGTTTCATATATATTAAATCACAAAGACTAATACAAACTAAAGTAAATACCCTTCTATAATAGATTATTTGAATGATCCAAATATGTGATCTATAGGTTACAAATAGGAGTGGCATGGTAGGTATATACCGAATATCATATCGAAACATAATTTTTTTATATTGTGGTTGGATATTTATGGTATTTGGTATGACTTATAAATTTTTTGGTATTCGATACGATATTTGATATTTATAAAATAAATATCGTATACCATACCAAAATCTTATAGTTATATATATATATATATATATATATATTAATCATTCACTAACATGTAGACTCTAACTTGACATACACTATGTCAAGTTAAAGTTTACATATTAATGAATGATTTTTGTGGTATA